AAATCGCGTATATTTGTTTTTTCAAACAAACCGACGTTTCGGGCCCTGTACGGGTCCTGTAAATTTATGGGACCTGTAAAGGGCCCGAAACGTCGGTTTGTTTCAAAAAAACAAATATACGCGATTTAAATCCGGAAAAATAGTTTCATTTCCTATGTGTAACAATCGCGAAAACCTAAGAACTCGATATGTAATTGTATGTATATTTGTTAAAAAAATTATAGTGTTAATTTTTTAGCAAAAGTATGAACTAAATCTTTATCGTAGTTTGTTACAGTGCACTTACACAGGGCTATTTTCTTCGAAGGCCAGTTAATTATAATGTTTGTGTTAGCCTCATATTCTCTGATAATTCCATTGCACGTTATTTTATTATTCTTAGAAATAGAATACTGTTTAAATATCCAACTGTGTGCAATGGGATGAACCTCCCAAATCTTTTCGCGAAAAAGAGAAAAAAAGAGAGAAGTGCGTGGGTGCACTGATGCAAGCGATGTTTCATTCTAAATACAGTCTCAGGTCCATGATTTAACTTTATACGTTTACTTAACGGTTGCGTTCGTTCCCACTGATAGGTATCAATAATAAAATTATAAATTACTGTTTTACTGACTGCTACTTCGTCCTTGTATTCCTTTTTTAATTGATTATCATTAGACAGAATTTTGTTTTGATCTTCACAACGAAAATTTTCACTTAAGAAAAAGTCGAAATTTTTCTTTACGCAAAGATATAGTGCCTGTGTGGAAATTTTATGTGATAAAAGGGTACTAGTTTCACTAAACAGTGGATCGTTAGGCGGCGGTAAATCGGATTTACTGGAAAAAACTTTTTTTGCAGTAATGCATTTTTTTGCTCATCGAGTGGCACAACAAACTTCGTCCCTCTTTTCATGTCACCAAACACTGCTTAAACCAGAAACATAAATATTAAACTCAATATTAGCAATAGCAAAACCTTTGAATCCTCAGATAAATTAAACTAAAACAATTTTATCCACTTATGACAAATGACACACATATTGAGTTATGATGGTTACCTACCTCACCAGACTAGTTCGCCTCGAAATAATAGTTAAACTGCTGCCCTTTATATTATGGCAATAAAGAACTAAAAACTTTTGCTTTTTTAGTTTAGTCAGGCACTTTTTCGTAAAATTTTCAATCGGTTATATTTTTTTAAGTAATGTAGATATGAAGCATATACCTTTAATTCGTGAAGGTAGCAATTATTGGTAATACATACTTCTGGAAAATCTGCTCCCTTTATGCTGAACAAAGACCAGCCATCCTGACGTCAGAATGGCTGGTGAAATAATTTTTAATTTCTCAGAATATATCATAGGTAGCAATTATTTAGAAAAGGTAGCAATTCTTGAATATACATTCAGTGCCAGACGCCACAGGCGACCAGCCATCCTGACGGTCACAAATCATTGAAATAATATTTTGTCACGATACCAAAGAGAACAAGAAAGATTTTTCATGTTAATAGTTTCAGTAAAGATGAATGTTTTTAGCTTTTTTAAATTCATAAAATCAGCATCTGCTGATGTGTAATGAATCTGCATCAGCAACAACCATAGCTGTAACACATACATATATTCGTAAATTTATTCCTACCATCATGGCTATCTTCCACCGGAGTAGGCAAAGACTACAGGCTTCCTCCTATGCTCCTGAAATCTTGCTCCACTCTGCCGTGCTTATGATAAGAACAGTATCTATATGTATTACAAACATACTTCCTGTTAATGTTGGAAGCATGGTAGCAATAGCATCAGTCATTTCATACACCCACCTATTATTCTTAATTCTCATTTATTTGTTAGTAGGTTGCTGGCATACTATAACATAATGTACATTATTATTATTCCTAGTAATACATGATAAGTTTATTTATGACTTTTATAAAGTACAGAAGCATCATTATTCATTAAACAAAAGGATGTTCAATACTATACAAACTTAATTTAAAGAAAATTAAATAAATTAAACTTAATTTAAAGAAAATTAATGTAGATAACAAAACAAGATTGAAAGTTATGGTTCTGGTTCACTTAAATTTAGTCTAAAGCTCTGATAAAAAAGTAATCTAAACCCTCTAAACCTAAAAAAATGTTTACCGCTTTACTTACTACACTTAGTTGATTGTAGTTAATTAGTACAACAATATCTTATCAAGATATACATGTGAAAATTTTAATGAATATACAGCATAAAAGGATTTTTTTTAATTATGGCAGTACAATCGGATTAGGCACACCTGTAACAATTAAGTACAGTTATACATACAGTATCTTAACATAAATGTGTAGGTACATACATAAGTATACAAATGTCAGATAAGAAATACATTAATAGGTACCTTCATAATATATAGCTTTCTGAGGTTGTACCTAATACTTAGTGCTTTCGGAAATGACTCCTTGCGATTTTCCAGGCATCTAGGCTTATTAAAAGCTGTATAAATAATAAACAGCTAAGTGCATCTCAAGTTCCCATTATGTTAATAGGGCATTTTAAATATGGTCTGTGGTTAATAGGCTAGAACTACTTACTATCCTTTCTAATTTGTGGGCTAGAATAAAGATATCTTAGATGATACTACAAATTAGAAAGATATTATAGTGGATGATACCATCTAAACTGACCACGAGCGTGCGTTTGAGTGCTATTTATTAGATGAGTAGACAGTTTTACTAGGTACATACCTAGGTACTCAAATGATGCATTATACAAGACTAATTTTGTTAATATTAACACAGATTACAGAATATATAAAGAAAGCAGTTTCGAGTAGGGTGTTAATATCGGTCCATTCTATTATGCATTTTTAATACCTGCCCGAGAGTCACAGATTACATTGCTGCGGAATAAATAAATAAATAAATAAATAACGCACACACTCAACATAGCCCCGCACTAGGGAAAACCCTGTGTCGCGGGTGCCATGGACACACACATAGACAACCACAAATTACACCCAAACTCACGAGAGAAATAATTGTAGGCCATACAACTATTTCTCCCGGCCCGGGAATCGAACCTGGGACCTCTGCGTGGCAGTCCGGCATGGTAACCGTTCGGCCACGGAGGCAGTTAAAAATGAATGGAATGGAATGGGAGTACAGAGTAGGTACTTTACGTTTAATGGGAGCGAATTTTTGTAACACTATAGGCATACAGGTACCTACGACGCGACCCAAGAAATATGTCCTGTATGTTATAAAGAAGTCTTGCGCGTTTCGAGAATTTCCGCGGCTATTCCGTTCCGGGACAATGTAAATTGATACTGAAATAGGTACTGACTGGGATTTTTTCATATTTATCTAATATACAGTGAAGATAAATGAACCTTATGTGTACCTTACATGTAATTTCAATAAATTAAAAATGCTACCCTCATTATAATGTAATTTGCCTATACACAAGTTCAGATGTAAGGTTGCACAATGTGCAATTTCTGCGTAATTCTGACCGTGTCATTCCATTTCATGTATACCAAGTTCTTTTCAACGATATCTAATACGTTCTTGGTTTTCTTGTTCATCTGTAATATCAAGTGAAAATATTTACTTATGCATACCTTATATGTATATGCTGCCCTCGTAACGAAAAAAGGCACAACTTTGCGTACTTTAAACAGCAGTTGTGCCTTTTTTCGTTCCGAGGGCAGTATGCAATTTCAATAAATTAAAAATGGTTACACTACTCTTACTTGGTGTAACAGGCAGGTGTCCGCAATTCGACGTCAAAGCGCCTGTTTTGTGTGTGTACACTAGCTTTACTATATAATGTAATTTACCTATACTATATATAACAAGTTTAGATGTAATGTTGCACAATGTGCATAATTGTTGTGCAATTGCTGCAAAAGTCTACCTATATAAGAATGCATTATTGCAGGGACAGGCTTCATGGTTTTTGCAATAAAACAAATGACTGATCCTAGTTAATATTTATTTAACACCAAATTATCTCATTACACATAGCATTTAAGTGCATCAATTTACTTCAAAAATTCCTCACACAGACATGTGGCAGACAATTTTACCTATTCACTACCTAGACGTTAATATACCACGAGTCACTAAAAAGATTATGACTTTGCACAAGAAATTGATGTAGAACAATTAAAAGACAAATATCATCAGTAGATGAGCATGATTCATGAAGTTGGGAAATTGGCAGTATGGATGAGAAATGTTAATTTCAAATTACAACAAAATCTTGTCCAAAATCATAATAAAACTTACTTAAAAAAGAACATATTATTATTTATAAAAAAAAATTCAGTTCTGCCTCCTTATTATAATGATTACTATGTTAAGACGAATTAAATGTGAGACATTATAAAAATGTTATGGAATTATGTCTATTTGAATTACAAATAATTTACGATAAGGTACCACTATAAGATAAATTTAAGCACGCTCGCCACGGATTCGTCGGGCAAGCTGGATGTCTTTAGGCATGATGGTGACACGCTTGGCATGGATGGCGCACAAGTTGGTGTCTTCAAACAGGCCCACCAGATAAGCCTCACTGGCCTCCTGCAACACAAAAATCATTATTGTTAAAAAGTAATTATAAAATTAACCATAGATGGTATGGTAAAAGTTAAAATGAAATAGCACATGGCGTAAATACAAGTCATGGTGATGCCCACCTGCAGAGCGCCAATGGCGGCAGACTGGAAACGAAGATCAGTTTTGAAGTCCTGAGCAATTTCTCTCACAAGTCGTTGGAAAGGCAGTTTGCGGATCAGCAACTCGGTGGACTTCTGGTAACGACGAATTTCACGAAGGGCCACTGTTCCGGGGCGGTAGCGATGGGGCTTCTTCACTCCACCAGTACTAGGTGCAGATTTACGCGCGGCTTTTGTAGCCAGCTGTTTACGGGGTGCTTTACCTCCCGTAGATTTTCGAGCAGTCTGCTTAGTACGTGCCATATTTGACTGAAAATAAAGTTCCAATTTAACTCAGAAATATAACATAATAAACAACGATTGCTAAAGATTGACCACTATACAAGCAATCGCGTTTTACAAGATTTAGGCAATTCCCGAGAATTAATTTTTAGATACAGAAATAGACAATGGAATAATGCACTGTTTTACACACCTTTTATGAAATTTCAATGCGATTTAGCAAATTTTTCCACAATTTATTCGTGAGCTCAACGACTATGAACAATGATCATATGCTCAAGATGGCGGCAGGAGAATGGCGGGCGAACGGTGACGCCAATGTTCTCGAAGCTTATTGGCAGGCCCAGTAGTGTTATAGCCTTGTTCATTGGTCGATAATGTAGGCTGTTCTATTGGCTGCCAAAGGGGACAATATTTTAATATTGCATTTTCATTGGTTAACGCCTGAAATTACGCAATGTTGCTAGCGGAGAAATTACTCATTAGAAATTAAAATAAAGTAGGTTAGAGAAATATTTGAAATGATTGAAAATGAAAAAGCCATGCAAATCTTATCTTGAACACTGAGAGACAGAGTTTCTTTTTGTTTTGAGACTCCTAACTATTAGCTAGTGTTATTAAATAAATTTAGATTAGTTATAATATAAAAGATATCAATTGAAACATTTAAAATGATTTCTTTTCATATATGGATATATATTTAAAAAAAATTTTAAATTGATCCAATTTGGCGAGGACAAAAAACAAAAACTTTGTCCTATTTTTTGCCCCTTTCTAACGTATCTATTCAGTACCTAAATAGAAGGAGACAAACAGAAAACATACGACGTGACAGTTCTGTCAAAGATGGTTACAGTTCCGTTTAATAATTTTTTCTGTTCTTCACAAGACCGTAGCGCGATAAGATTATTTTTAGAAGTTCAAGGCCGTAAAAATCTACAATGTCTAGTCCTTTTAGGACAATTTTATTACGTTTTCAGTTTTATTTACATTTTTTACCTTTCTAAATTACATTGTATCACGTGATCTCCTATTGAATTTTAATTGGTCGACGGTGAGCGTGCCCTGCGCGATACGAGAGGCGCAATAATAGTTTTCCAAAATGCCGTCGGAATCAAAGCCTTTGTTGACAGCTCAAACAGAAAAACCAAATCATTATAAGTAAATGTCGTGTTTATTGTGTTATTTTAGTGTGATGTGAAAGTGCTAATCGTGAAGTTCGAGTGGTGTGCGTTTCATTGAACTGTGCCTTTCCGTTTTGCAGATATCTAAAGGAATTTCGGGTGGAGCAGTGTCCATCGTTTCTACAACACAAATGTACACAACATAGGCCTTTTACTTGTTTTCATTGGCATTTCAATAATCAGAGAAGAAGGAGGCCAGTTAGGAAGAGAGATGGCACGTTTAACTATAGCGCAGATAACTATTGTACCAAATATAATGAGACTTCGGGTACTTGCGAAGATGGGGACGAGTGAGTATTGTACCTATTTGTCATTGCTTTGTTTTCCTCGAATCTGTTTACGTCGATGACGATAATTGTGTTAAATGCTTTATCTGATGATTGATATTTTTATCAGCGCGTAATGATTTCATACGAAAAGTTGTTCATCAAAAAACCAAATTTGTTTACCAATATCTTGTGTATAATCCGACCTATTTCAATGTGTGCTAGGGAGGCGGCAGTTGTTGTATGTTGGCAGCGCTTTTCAATGTGGTTGAGCTATAAGGCTGAGTCTCATTGTTCTCAATGTATGGCAAAACATTTGGTCAAAATGTGATGTTTTCAATGACTAATTTACTACTTTAGAGTAATAACTAGCATTTATTAATGTTTACACAAGTGTTGGAATTAATTTTTGATTAAACTGAATACAAGAAATGTCATAAAAGACCCTATAGGACTTTACTATGTAGGGGCAGTATAACAAATTAAAATTATTTATTAATCATCATGTTGATAGCCTCATAATGTCCAGCAATCATTTTGAAATGTCTTTAGTCAACTTATAAAAGAAATTTCTTGTTGAATAGTATATTTTCTAATAAATAATATTTTTTTGCTATTTGGGTTATGTTATAATACATTATATAAAATATAATAACTATTAGCCATATAAATTACGAAGTACCGTAATACCCCGCTTTACGCGAGGGATGCGTTCCCGACAAAATCGCGTTAAGTGAAATTCGCGTAAAACGGAGTTTATAGTTCTTTGGTCGCCCTAGAGTCTCTAACTTGACCTAATGACTGCTATCAGGGATAGAACGGGTTATGTTCGAATAAAAAGCTGAATATTGTGACAAACATGCTACTAGAATGCACCCATATTTTCTAAAACTTATCTTCGTCTCCAAACTCGAGCTTTTACGCTCTTTTTTCTTAGCAAAGTGGCCTAAAAAATATCTTTCACAACTGGATAATGGGCAGTACCAATGTGACTTCAAATTAAAGAACCTACCAAGAAAATTGGCTAAAGCAAAGCATGTGCGTAAAGCGGGGTAATTTAGCGCGAATTTGACAACGGCGTTATAACGAAAATGCGCTATGCGGGCCGCGCAATGCAGGGTATTACTGTATTCATCTTTCTGACCAATCAAACTACCCGATAAAGGCTACTCATTGACTATGCTTAAATAATACAACACACCAAAATGTCACTACCTCTTCTTTATGCCTTAGTGCTTGTATTGATTCAATACAATTATTACACTTTGTCACTGACTGCGGATTTTGTCAACATTAGTAATTGTGTTACAATTTATGTTTGTGAATGTTTTTTTAACCAAAGTAAGTATGGTTATGTTAGTGTTAGGATAATTGTTATACTGCATTTCTAACATCCATTTTAGAGAAAGTAATTTTATTAAATCATGCTTTTTTATAGTTAGAAAGCTTTAGTACAAAAATAAAATGATACCTACAAAAAGCCATTGCTGTCGAAACACTGACATGCACAATCTTGTATCACCTCATACGAAACACGTCAGTCCATAAACGGATACATATAAATCATTGAACTTTGTCAGTATGTTGTTCGCTTTTCTATGGAGAAGCAGTAGGTGACGATAACACAGAAAGCATTTGGAATTTCACCCTGTATGCCTGTAGCAGGTTTTATGAGATCCTCAAACCAGGATACCCTGTGAGAACATGTGTTAGTACAGACCAGTGGAGTTTTGTGATTGGCGCAAGATCGAAAAAAACTTTTGAGTGATACCAGACAGTGAAACTGTGCATGTGTGCTATGTATGTGTGTAGTTTTGTTTGGTTTTCATTAATATAATCTATATTTTAAAGGCAATAATGTCTATCATGCCTGCATGCAAGCTACATGTCTAATGGCAAGACACCATAAATTAAATCAAAATAGGGTAAACAATTCCACATTTGACAAAAACAGTATATCATTTATAAACTAGTTCCTCTTTGTGGCAGGTTATTAGATGAAATTAATATACATGAATACAAATTGTTAAATAGAAAATGACTTTTGATCAAGTGCATTTGACTACGCATCTCACCTGATGGAAAGTGACAATGAGGTTGATGATGGAGCATGCACACCTAAGTAATGCATACACATCCTCGCCTTGAAAAGGCCCGAGTCTTACCATTCAGGGAACAAGTCTGCAGGCAGGGAATTCTACTCCATAGTTGTTATACAAACTTGAATAGTTGACGTGTACTCATATATATTATTGACCGGGGCGGTGGAGACACCAATATGCCCATGACATAAATGCATTATAATCCTGCTATGTAGTACAGGGTCAATAGCATGTCAATCTTGACACTAAACACTTAAATCCAACTCTATGCCGCTTAAGATAAGAACGGTCCAAAGTACAAAGTGTCAAGCTTGATGTGCTGTACCACACTGGCATTGAGGCAATATCTCTCATTAGTGTCGTTCCATTGATTCTTCCTTTCTCATGACAGGCTTGAATATCTGGCAACAAAGTATATTTATTATCTGAAAAAGATTGGAGCCTACTGTATGTAGCAACATTGCCAGACACCCTGATTTGTGGGACATTCCACTTTTCCTGGCCAATTTAATTTTGCATGTGTTACAAAGAAAAAGACACCTTTGAGAAAGGGAGTGAAATTTGCAGAACTCAAGTATTTAACACAAAACAATCTGATTCTGTGTAGTAAAAATAATTCAAAACATACATTATATATTAATTACAATTTTTATTCACCGATTCCTGATTATTTGACTTTCTGTTATGTAATAACAACTGAATTGCAGGAAATAATCTATGTAACTTGTTTTAGATGTCCATACCTCCACCGGACGGCCGGCGACACGGAACGCCGTTACCACCTTCGATATTACAAGACATGTATGTGTGTACACGATACGGATGCTCGAGGGTTATGCACAAAGAATGGGGCCCATTGCGCCTTTGCACATGGCGCGCCAGACCTAAGACCCCCAGTGCTGGACGTGAGAGAGCTGCAGGCGTTAGATAACCCCGATGCGGCAGATGGGGACTCTGCCGCGCCCAACGCTTTAGATAGGGAACGAAATTTAATGAATGAAGACCCTAAGTGGCAAGGTAAGGGTTCAAAATCACCAATGCCGAACTCTACTGCTGATGTATATATTATAGTTGAACAATACGTCAACTTCATTTTTTAGTCAGTTTCTGTTATTTTTGTAAACAGTCTTATTTATTTACTATATTATCCTCCATGCTTCAGAAACAAAAAACTAAATTGGAAAAAAAAAACCAATTTTGTGAAAGAAAAAGAAAAATAAAACAAAGTAAAAACAGAACAGATCCAAAAATTAAGTTGGCGTAGTGTTTATTGGAGGTATCGTTATGCTTGTATCTGTGTAATAGAATTTTTAGGTGCTTTCATAGTTCATTCATTTTCATTGATAAAGTATGTTGACTGATTTGTTCTTTGTTTCAGATACAAATTACGTGCTATCATCATATAAAACAGAACCATGTAAAAGACCTCCTAGGCTATGTAGACAAGGGTATGCTTGCCCTCAGTATCACAATAGTAAAGTGAGTACATATTCTTGAAGTAACCTTTTAAGGTGGCGATTACAATTACTTAATGTAACATTTATTCCCTGCGGTGTTTAAAAACGTGACTTGTTCCAGGACAAACGTAGATCACCGAGGAAATATAAGTACCGCAGCACGCCGTGCCCGAACGTGAAGCACGGCGAGGAGTGGGGCGAGCCCAGCAACTGCGAGGCCGGCGACGCGTGCGGCTACTGCCACACGCGCACCGAGCAGCAGTTCCACCCTGAGATCTACAAGTCCACCAAGTGCAACGACGTGCAGCAGGCCGGCTACTGCCCCCGGGGACTCTTCTGCGCTTTCGCTCATGTCGAACGTGAGTATTGCGGGAGTGTTGCACTTAGGAAGCGTTTGAATTTGTAACGTGACGAAAAACCTCCATTTCACAATTTTTGCCCCAGTTGAACGAACTCGTTCGTTTGCAGCGGAAGACCTCAGTGCGGCTCGCGAGCTCGCAGCCCCGCTCGAATGCGGCACCAACCTGGCCGACCTGCTGTCGTCGGCGCTGCCGCCCGACAAGAAGTCTGAGAACAGCGTGAGCATGCTGGGCGCCGCGCTGACGCTGCCGCGGTCGCTGTCGCCCTCCGGCCTGCAGACGAACGGCAGCGCCGAGAACTCGGAGTGCGCGTCCACGTCGAGCGGCGCGTCGAGCGGCGGCCGCGCGCCCGGCCCGCCCGGCGCCGCCGGCGCGCAGCAGCCGCGCCCGATGCTGTCGCTCGGCTCGTTCGGCGACCCGGACGGCAAGGCGCAGCCGCAGCCGTCGGCGTGGGCGCAGCGGACGTCGTCCACCTTCGACGCGACCATGCTGCAGGAGGTGGTGGGCAACGCCCTCGACGACCTGCACATGGACGACCCGGTGAACCTCGTGGCGACGCTGGACCGCGACCTGTCGGACGGCGAGGGGCTGCTGGGCGGGTCGGCGCCCGTGAACATCCCGCAGGCGCGCGCGGCGCTGCGCGGCTTCAGCCCGCCGGCGGGCGGCTCGCCGCTGCCGCCGTTCCTGCGCTACGCGCAGAACGACACGGAGCGGCTGTTCAACTCGCACGCCATGAAGCCGGGCAGCTTCGGCGGCAGCGCGGGCCCCTTCGAGTTCGCCACGTCGCCGTCGGCGCCGGCCGAGCTGTCGCGCCTGCGCGAGGAGGTGGTGGCGTCGCGCGCGCTGGCGGCGCGCTGGGACGAGCGCATCGCGCAGGCGCGCTCGGCCTGCGCCGCGTGGCAGAGCGAGGCCGACGAGGCGGCGCGCAAGGTGGCGCTGGCCGAGCGGCAGCGCGACGAGGCGCTGGGCCACGTGCTGTCGCTGCGCCGCGAGCTGGAGGCGGCGCGCGCGCTGGCCCCGCGCCGCGACGCGCGCGAGCTGCGCGGGCTGCCGCTGCCCGCCATCAAGGCGCTGCAGGCGCAGGCGCGCACCGACCTGGAGGAGATCGAGAAGGTGCTCTACCTCGAGACGGCCACCAAGTGCATGCTGTGCGAGGAGCAGCTGCGCAGCGTCACGCTGGCGCCCTGCAACCACTACGTGCTCTGCGACGGCTGCGCCGCCACCACCAAGGAGTGCCCCTACTGCCAGACGCCCGTGCAGCACCACCAGTAGGGCCGCGGGGCCCGGAGATGGTCGCTCTCTACTCGTGTGTAGTCTTTCGAATTTCCGATGTGTCGCCGGCGGTGCGGGCCCCGGTCCGGATCGGCGTATACTTTCGTTGATATTTTTTATATGTGGATAGTTATGGGGTCTAAATGGATATAATATATCACTCGATAATAATTATATAGGAGTATTTAATTCTATAGAAAAGAGCAAGACTTATTCTGGAGAATTTACTGAATGAAATTAAAAGCGATTTAGGATTTTTCTAATAAACTGCCACTGTCGTTTGTATGACTATTGTAAGAGAACATTGTGCATTTTCCTATTCGGTGATTGAATATATTACATGTTTTTCAGATTTCAAAGAAATATTTGTGTAGTTAAAACGATATTAAACTTTTAGATGACGCGCTTTGCTTATAATTAATAAAAGTAATAATAACATTTGAATTCGATCAAAACGAATGAAACTTAAATGTAGCGCAAAAATGACGTACACCGTAACTGCATGACTATCAACATTGAACCAATGTTACGTGGAGACGGACGCAAACAGTTTTCTACTAATCTATAACTAGGAATATTCTATTGAATATTTTTCATGAAACGAATATAATTAGTGCATGGGACACACAGTAGGAGTTTTCAATGTTACAGAATAAATATGCTTTTGATGTTAACAAATTTTATTTAGATTCATGTACTAGTGGACTGTTGCTTTTACTGATGGTTGATCATCATAATATTATAGGATTTATTGTGGACTTAACTGGGTGGTCATGCTTGCAACAACGATCGCGTAAAAGGAACAATTTTGTAGTGATTTGAGATTTTAAAAATGTATATTGCAAATTTTGATATTAGACAGATATTGATGGAAGCACGGCCACAGGAAATTATTAGTAATTATGGATTATTGAAAGATTATAAAAGTAGCTTTTAGTTTTATATCTATATTCAAACAGATTTTGCTTGTTCATAGCAGGATGTGTACTAATAAAATCAGACGCTCGGATCGTTATTATTATTATTTTTTAAAGTTATATACCTGTAAGGACAAGTGCGACTGCTCTGCTTCCTCAGATTGTTTTAGCACAATACTTTGCCTTTAATTACGTCACTTTTAAGGACCAATATTGATATATCGAATACTGTAAGAAGCGCAAAACATCCGGAATCTGTTTTTATTACACAAAGACCAATTTTTGATTCGGACAAATGTTTTAAATATCGGGAATATGACATTAGATGTATTTGTTTCTCTTTTTGTTTGTCGAAGCGAGAAACTTTATATCGTCTGAAGTTGTGTAAGTGACGCACGATTCAAAAATCGGTCCTCATATTGATGCAAACGAAGGTACACTGGTTGAGTTTATTAGTTGTAGCGCATTTTTTAAGTTTTACATTCCCGTGTAATCGTTAGAAGGGTATAATTAATGTTTATTTCTCTATTTGGTGTAGGTGTAATAATCGGCTGCATTTAGTATTAATCATTTATACTTTTAAAAGTGACTTCTGTACAAAAGAGCAGGGAGCCTACTCCCGTTCTCCGTCAGACAGGACTTCGTACTTGACATTATCTTTTGAATTAGTCGAGGATTACTTATGTGACAGTCTTTGTTACGGGCGGAGAAACGGAAGGAGAGTCCCAGGCCCGAACAGGGTCTAGATTTTCGGTTCAACAAATTTCTACTTTTCAATTTAGATTTTGACAAATCATCCTGCTGGCATTTAAATTAAACCTGTTGTTTAATTGTTAGTGTAATACTTGTTATAGTGAATTCATTTTCTCCTCGGAGTACCGTCTTTTGGGTCAATACCGATGAATATTGACAGCAATTAAATCAATTATGTTACTCAGCTATGTGTATGGCATAAACAATTATAAGCTATTGTACGAAAAGAAAGCATTTTATACAAAATATTATTTAAATTTTACTACTACATTAAAAATATTTATATATTTTGAAAATCTTAAAAAGTTTTTTGTATCGGTATATAATAATAATAATAGTAATAACAAATTAACTTAGATTTTAATAATGATAGAGTAAGTAGTGTTTTCAAATTGTATTGGACATTATTTTAAGTGTGAAGTAGCGAGCCTCGAGTATCGTATCCAAGAAGCAATATGACCACAGCCGCCTTTTTAAAATAATGCAAATATATATTCAGATTGATAAAAATCTATTATTTTTCTAGGGCATGTCGGCCACTGGCGGGATGCATATAACAATTTTTTTAAAACAATACTGGTTGCAAGTGCGCTAGAACGTCGTGAGTTTTTGTTTTAAATATTTAGACATTTGTATTGACTCGATTGAATTATAAAAACTTATGAAGGTTTTTGTCAATGCCGTATGTTGAACCCTAATTGGCTTCAATTACAAAGATAGCGAGACAAATTTCAGTGTTGTTTTTCCACAAAACTGCATCCGCTTTTGTTGTTTGTTACTATTATTAGTGTTACCAGAATGTACTCTGTTTGAATCCACCAATTTTATAAATTTTGAAGCCTAATTGAGCACCGCGTACGTGGTCTTCGTTTCCCGAGTATTACGTATGTCGACACGGCACATTTTGTGTTGGCTCGTTGAAGTAAATATGCTATTGTAGTTGTAACGTGAAGGTTACCCTGAGCATTTAAATTTGTACCTTATGTTTTATGCTTGTCGTTCGATAGTATCTTTAATTTTTTACAACATAAGGTGTAAATTAAATTGCCGGGCGGTTTGCATGGATATTTTATAGGGCGGTATTTTTCGGCGTATTTTTCGGCCTACATGACTTGAGCGATAATATTTAACTTACTCGTGTTTGTCTTGTGTACAGTAGAGATGGGGAGTGGATTAAAACCCAATCAACGCGCCCGGGTTTTTACCCAAAGCACCGGGTTTTTACTCATTTCTGCCCGAAATCATGAGCAGAACACGCGTAAAATAATACAGAATTTGGTATAATTCCATACTTATTAGAAATTCGATGTAAAAATATTTTTTTTTTAGACGAAAAAAGGTAACTACATAAAAATACCCAGTACTTGCAATCACTCTAAGTACTTGTAATCACTAGGATTGCACATTACGATTCGAGTTTTATGAAAATCGATTTAAGTGTAGACGATAACGAGTTTTTGTATACATCCATTTCATTGCGCGTTTCAACCAAATCGATTCAATATAGAAAAGCGAAATGTGTAAGCAAGCAATAAACAATTTGCAATAATATCATTTCATTACATTTGAACAAAACTCGATTTACATATATTTTGCTGTAAATAGTTTTTGCCCTCCATTTCGGGCGTTAATGGGTTTCAATGTTAACAAAGCGCCGGTTTCAAAAACCCGGGCGTTTTCCCATCTCTGCTTGTGTAAAGTGTTTAAATAGCATATCAAAGATATTCGTAGTTATTAGGGGGGAAACAAACAATAAAGATATGAAACGGTTCCCATCCCTAAAAGAAGAGTTTTAAGCGTATTGCGTACGAGTACATGCATTGTAAAACTATAAATGTTAGGTGATAACACGATCGTACAAATTACGAAACGTGTTGTAAATCACGCAGTTGTTCGCTTTTTCATTGTATCCGCCTACGCATATTCCTTTGAGAAAGTCCCCCTTGAGAAATCGCTCACGTTATCTGTAATGCAGTTGCTTAGAGATTTAAGAGTCACAAACTTCTTATATGTAAAACAAGTCTCAAAAATACGTACCTATAAGTGGAGTGTCTAATGTATGTGAAAGCAAAATGTCCTGTGTGGCCATAGTTATAATAGCTTGCTAGAATATATCTATTTCTAATATTATTTTAAATTTAGATGTGTATTATAGTCACATTTATTTTTATATAGAATTTATCACATGGAGAACATTCATTGTAACAATTTCAATTGGTTGAAACTGATAGAGTCGTTTATTGTAGAATGTCTTATACTTTGCACATTTTGTTTGAAAAATGTTTCTCACATTGTTTTAACTTAATGTTAGAACTACTTAATCTTGTAACTGAATGTTAAAACATAACTAATTTTGACTGTTTTTCTTATTCACTATATTTGCAATCGTAATTATATCTGTTAATGTATTCGTATGGATTTATTGTTGTCAATATACATAAACAATAGAAATATTTTTCAATTGAAATGTGCTCTTGCAATTGGACGTAGTTAAACAAAAAGGATCCAATGCACATCCAGTCACTGTCGAGATAAGGCAGTTTGAAGTTAAAAAATGTTTCTGACCCTTGTTTTATTTTCAAAACTTATAAAGTCATGTAACTCCACAGATATTTATTTATGTTTATATGTTGGATTTTTTTTGCTCATCAGGTTAGACCTTTAGGAACCGTTTGGTACATATAACTAATTTTTGATAATTTTGTGGATTGGATCATTTTTGCCTAACTACGTCCAATCATTATAGTATTATTTGAATGCAGAAATTGTTTGTATGTATTTATTTAACTGGCGCGATGTGGTTCTTGTTGTTTTTTTACAATTATTATTACATTTAATTATTTGTTTATTTTAAGCATTATTTTACTCTTTGTAATCCATATTTGCAGATCGCATTTTATGTTATAGTTACTTTTTTTATTAGGACCAATTGTAAACTCAAGCTTAAACTCGTTGCGTACGCATAATAACACATTTTTTATATTTTAAATATAATTTTTCAATTATTTAATCGTTAGGTAGGTAGCTCCAACAAATTCTTTCAAATTTATTATTGTTAAATTAGAAGTAATGTTGTAGTAGAAACCAATTGTAAGTTCACACTCGCTGGATGATCAAATTAATTATGATTTTCATTATTATATTTATTAAAAGTATGCATTCAAGCTTATATTAATATCATAGTAGGTATTTTATAAACAAAATAATTTTCAAATCCATGTGATACAACAAGTAACAGAGATGTGAAGATTATAATTACTTTAGGTAGGTAGGTTTAATAAATTTTAAATTCCATTCAATAATTATGAGTGTTTCATTTTTAGTTCATTATCCTTTTAATTATGATATTTGCTTTAAAAATAAATAAAACTTCTTTTTCCGTCAAACTGGCATCAATGTTAATTAAAACAGTGTGTCCTTCATTCATCAAATTGGCCTTAATATGAATTAAAAAGGGAGTTCTTTCATTAAACAAGCCTTAATATCAATTAAAACAGTGTATCTTTATTCATATCAAACAGACCTTAAACGTATCAGTGCAACACACTACTATTGTGGCCCAAAACTGCCAAATCATTACGAAGTTCTATGATTACGCAGAATGACTGGAAACTGACTTTGTTCTTTCAAATACCAAGCCAGAACTGGAATCACACTTTAATTATTAACGAATAAAATAGTATCTCTATTCTTCTCTATGAATAAATAGTATATCTATTTTTATGGTCGATCTGTTTGCTGTTCCATATTGGTGGTATTTCTAAAAGTGCCGAAATTATTTCCTACTAATCGAAAAATAAGTATAGGTAAGCAACAAGACGACGACATAGCTTAATTTTATATTGCGGCGGAACGGAATGGAAGCAAATTTTTGTAACGATATTGTACATAGCATACTGAACTTTATGGACAATAGTGGACTTAACGTACAAACTAGAAACGAGCCAAAATCTTCCGCGGAATGCACGAGCATGCGCGAGAATTCGATTCTGGGGGTCTAACCTCGATCTCCGTCCGAAACAATTACTGTCAAATAAGCAATACTCGACCAAATGAAAAGACGCGTGATGCGAATGACGCTTCATACTTGATACCTGTCTTTTTAATTTGGTCGAATATTACTTGTTTGACAGTAAATGTTTCGGACGGAGATCGAGAGTAGACCCCCCGTTCCGCCGCAATTTAAATTGAGCCTTTTTTTTATAATATCAAGTGATGGGACGAACATGTCGTGCGCCTGATATTAAGCTACACGCCTGTACATAACAGTTGCAGTGTCACTCGAGCTTTAAATCGCAAAGATCTGAGGGGCACTGCCACTGCGCACATTACCCTGAGACATAAGTTGACAAGTCCCATGTGTCTGTAATTACACCTACCTTCAAAACCGGAAAACAATTACTGTTTTCCGCAGGCAGCGAAGAGGTTACAAGCGAAGGAACACCCGATGATGAAGACACGAGGTCACATGATACCAGAGACAGAGTCGAGCCTGACTCTGAACCCGAAGCTGGTCTCTGCAGGTATATTTTTTTACAAGGGACGGTACGAACAAGTCGTGCGCCTGTTAGTAAGCGACACGCCTATCTATGGCAGTTGCAGTGCCATTCAGAGATTTAAATTGCAAAGATCTGTGGGCACTGCCAGTGCGCCCGTCACCCTAACTGCCAGTGCACCCGTCACCCTAACTGCCAGTGCGCCCGTCACCCTAAGACATAACTTGATAAGTTCCACGTGTCTGTAATTTCACCAGCGCCCTTACCCTTTTAAGACCGGAATGCAGTAATGCTCACATTACTGCTTGGCGGCAGAAATAGGTAAGGTGGCAGTGGCCTGGACGAACTCTTTCACAAAAAGCTCTACTGCTACTAAAGTCTATGACTACTCGAACACGCATTCACTGCTCGACTGGAGCTCCACATTCTTGAACCGCCGCTGCCGTCAAGACCAGGAGGATTTTGATCAAGACGCGCAACACGCTGTCGCCACCGCGCCGCCTTTTTTATTCGTCGTATGTAATAATAATTAAAAAAGGGTGCCCTTCTTTATAAAATAGGCCTCAATATTAAATACAACTACACAGTTGCGGACACCCTTTATTTATCAAATTGGTAATATTATTTAAAGTAGTGTGTCCTTTATTCAGCAAATTGACCTTAATATTAAGTAAAAGGATTCATTGCCCGTGGTTCTACCAGTAGGACTACGGGCATTGGACCTACTGATCGGTTAGTATAGTCACCGTCAATATTAATAATGGTTCTGAGCTAACTACAGTTGTTTCTAG